TCCTCCCACCTATGCTGAAGGCACCGAAAATGCTGGAGCTGAGGAGACTGGTCCCCAGGCTAAGAGGGAGAGCCTGCGTACGAAAGACTGTAACCCTCCTGCAGCATCCAGTGGGGTGAGAAAAACTGCTTAGTCCAGATATTGCCTAGTGTATTAAGACTGAGAATTTAGACTGCGTGCTTATTTTTTATTTTCCTTTTGTAACTACTATAATTTTTGCCAATCACTTATAATCACTCAAAATCTATCTTTTTGTAATAAATAACCTTATTCTAATGTTTATCCTTACCAGTGAGTTTGATTGAAGTATTTGGTAAATCTGCTCAGGTTTAAAAGGCTGTTGCATGTCCACTTTCCATTGATGAAGTGGTGAACCAATTAAAAAATTGCATTGCTCAAGAAAGGTCTTGAACAGCGCAAGATGGTATATTCCTGAGGTACAAAGCTGGGAGCTGGTGTAATTTGGCTAGTGACTTGCTCTGTGTCAGTGGTTCTCAAACTTTTTTTTTCACGGACTGCTTGAAAATTGCTGAGGGTCTTGGCGGACCACTTACCGATTTTTCCAAATGTTGTTTGTACCGTTAGCTAACTATTATAAAGCACTTTGGATAAAAGCGTTATATAAAAAAAAGTTAATAATAATTAATGTTTTTTTGTTCTACAAATAAAAGCATACAACTCATATTTTAATATCAGTAGTCTTGCCTTTCTAATGCAATGGATGTGCCCTCTCTCCCCCGCCGCAGCAGCTCCCAAGCTGGGGCTGGGAAGGAGGGGAGTCTCTTCCTCTCTCCCCCACCGCAGCAGCCACAGAGCTGAGGCGGGGAAGGAGGGCCGTCTCTCCCCGGCAGCTGCAGCCCTGGAGCTGGGGAAAGTCGCCTCTTTCTCTGGCCACCGCAGCCCTGCAAGTCCCAAATTCCCCCCACCCCTTCTTCTCACCCCACTTCCCCCTCCCACCTACCCCCTATTTCCTCCAAGGCCACCACCTCACCTTACATGTGCGTCTTCTCCAGGGTCCTGACACCTAATTAGTGGAGCCACGCCTGTGCGGCTCCACTAATTAGATTCATTCTCTCGTGTACAGCCACCCAGACATGCACCTTAGAGGGAGCTCTCCGTGGACCACCTGAATGGAGTTCGTGGACCACAGTTTGAGAACCTGTGTTCTGTGTGATTCGTGAGTGGCTCTGGGAGCATTCATGCAATCTAGCTGGATGTGGGGCTCCACATGTGGATATACTGAGTGGTAACAGCACCTGGAGGGGTTTGCTGCTTGTCACCAGTAAGACACTGTAAGAGACAACCAAGATTAGCAAGTTAAGGGGGCACAGTGGCCGTACACAGGGCCAGTCCAGGCACCAGCTAAAGAAGCAGGTGCTTGGGGCGGCCAGTACCAAGGGGCGGCACTCCAGCCGCTATTGGGGCGGCATGTCTGGGGTCTTCGGCGGCAATTCAGCGGTAGGTCGCTCCGAAGAGTGGAGCGGAGCAATTGCGCTGCCGCGGTGCTTTTTTTTTTTTGCCGCTTGGGGCGGCAGAAAACCTGGAGCCGGGCCTGGCCCTACAGTCCCAGGTTGCACCCTGGGGATCCTGTCACATAGGTACACAACCATTATTCAGTATTAGTGCCACAAGGACTAGAGAAAAGTAATGTGCACTCTTAACATTGGCTCAGTAATAAAACAGCACTTGCAGTATGAGAATATATCACTACTGCACTGTAAGCAACATTTACAATCCCAGGGTGTCAATTTAGACTTCATACCAAAACATTACAAATGCTGAAACAGTGAGCAGTAGCATTCTTGTTCATAAGGTGGCAAGGTGTTCTGGTGACTGCAGCAAAGGATGGTGCCTGGGCTAGCTATTATGGCTCGTTCTTCACATTGATTGTGTCCACATGCTGTATAACTGCCATGGTTAGTAAGCGCATGAATAGCCATATGTCACCCTTGTCTGTGGTCAGTGCAACACATGGTTGTCTCCTTGCTATGTAGATGGAATCTTCTACTGTGCTGTGTAACTGGGCTGACTGGTCCTCCTAGACTATCTATATAGCATGGCATACTAAAGTGCATTGCCCTATATGTTGCTGGTGCCACTGTGCATACAGCTTCTAGGTCCTCTGGATACACCCCTTAGGCACTTCATTGCCTTGCAACTTGTATAGCCATTTACATGCTTGCAAAGGAGGGTGTAAAGTACCATCAGCTCAGACACTTTCCACTCGTGCTGATGTTAGAACGCTGCCTTCACTTGGCATGGATATAAACTACTACATAATGTAAGAAGCAGCAGACAGTAGGCCCTCTATCCCCTTCTGCTGCTAGCGTATGGCATTTTAGGTTTTCCTGGGATACACTGATACAAAGCATGATGGGTGTCTCACACACACACTCACACATAATGTGATTGCACTGTGAGAAAGAAACGGCTGTGTGAACACCTCTCAAGCATGTTTTTTGTAACAGATTCTGAAGAGGGTGTCATGATCTGGTTCCAAAAAGATAATTTTACTGTTAACCCTTTTTCACACACACAGATAGCCGAAGTGCAGGGCCCTGCAGGTTTTTTCCACTAGAAGGAGAAATTGATGATAGAGACAGGTATTTTCTTTGATGCAATCTTGTTTATTTACAAAGACTATACACAAAATCCTGTCTCCCTGAATACTGTAGGAACAAATAGCAGGAGAAAGTTTCTTTGCTTCCTATTCCAAGCCTGCCTTCCCAGCCAGCATTCTGTGCCCCAAAAGCTTTCTCTCAGGCCACATTACCAGCATTTCTGTTACTGTCAGCTTGGCTTTCTGTTTGCTTCTGTCTTCTCTCACACAGAAATGCACGCTCCCACAAAACAAAACCCAGCTATAAACCCTCTGCCCACATCATTCTAATTCCTGGGCAGACTCACATGTGTTTTTGGTTAAGGCACTGCATGTACCTGTGTTTAGGATGAAAACTCCTGTTATTTCATAAAGGAGCCTAACTGTTTCTTACCGCTATCTTAAGTGAGGGGTAGTGGTTACACCTACCTGTTTCAATGATGATTCACCCAACCCACAACAGAATGTATAGGTTCAGAACAGGGTCCCCAAAGTTAGGCTCCTACAGAAGTGTCAGTTTTCAGAGATGCTGAGGCCCTAGCAACTGCCACTGATTTCAGTGGGAGCAGATGAGTGGTTGGTAGTTCTGAAAATCAGGACATTTGTTTAGGTGCCTGAATGTGGATATAGGAGCCTAATTTTAGGGGCCCAATATTAAAAATCTCAGCCATGTCACCAAGGCCTAAATTTAGCAGCAATAATTTCAAAGATGTGAAGAATCAATCGAGAAGTGCTCCTGAGATACACTTGAGATGGAGCCTTATTTTTCTAAGGTAGGATCATTTGTGTAATGCTGATATTTCAATATACTGTCACCCTTCTGGAAGCTGTAATTGGAATGCTAACACAACATTCCCCTCTTATGGGTAGGTAAAGGTCCAGGGACAAAAATACCTGTATTTATAGGTACTTATACCCACACTTTCCTCATAGTGCCCACTTAATTATCTTTACTGTTTAAGGTTTTTAATTAACTATTAAATCAGTGCTTATTGTAAGTCTTCATATGGGTATGCAACAGTGCAAACCGAATTTGTGGCCATAATGTTACTTTAATGGTCCAGTTTTACAGTGACAGATGTCCAAGATTATCATTTCCAACAAAACTGCATAAGATTTACAAAGTTAACCAGAGAGTTAAACAGCTTCTCGGACAAATGCAACATAAAATTTTGCCAACACTTTGAATGTATTTATTCATGTTTGGACTTGTGTAAGGAAAAGTTTCCATGCTACAAATTTCAGAGTAGCAGCCGTGTTAGTCTGTATCCGCAAAAATAACAGGAGTACTTGTGGCACCTTAGAGACTAACAAATTTATTAGAGCATAAGCTTTCGTGGGCTACAACCCACT